ACTCACGGACTGCGAGATCATGCCCTGAGCCGAAGTCGGCCGCTCAACGGACGGAGCCACCCGGGCGCCCCGAAAAGATAACACTTTTAATAAATACATAAATCTTTTCAATTGAGCATCCACGTGCCACCTCACAGCGTCTTACGCGCGTGCCCTTTGGGCGATGCCGCCTGGCACTTCTAGAAGGCTCACCTCTGTCCTGCTCAGCTCCACCCTCTTTGCTGGGGTGTGTGTGATGTGCCCAGCCCCACGCTGGTCTCTGCAGGAGGCGGGGCGGGGAGCCCCTGAAGCCCTCGGGGGCTTGCCATCCAGAGAACAGGTACCCCGTGGCAACACCCTGAGACAAAACTCAGTCCCTGCCCTGTGACGGATGATGGACAAAGCCCGTGGGACAGGAGGGGTGGCTGGGTGTCTTCTGGGTGGGCAGATGGACACGCAGAAGTTGCAAGGAACACGCCCAAGCCTCCCTGGGCAACTCAGTGGCAAAATTGGGCTCAAGCCCACGTGTTAAGCAAGTGGACCCCCAATCCGGGTTTTTGCTGCGACTCTGCTTCTCCCAACCATGAGTGTGGACAGAGGACAGCAGCCCACCGCCAACAAGCGTCCAGCCTCAGATCAGCTCAGTGACCCCGAGATGGGCTCAGGAGTTCAGAGGGGGGCAGTTGGACAATAAACAGGGTGGCCCTGGAGCTTTTTCAGGCTCCTTTCCCAGCCCCGGGCATGGACGGCCAGACCCTGACCGCGCTCTCCTGCAGTGCCCCGGACCGGTGGTCTTGGCCAGCGGCCCCTGCAGTCCGTGGCCTGGCTCAGAGACACCCTGCCTGGCGGCCTCTACAGACTCACTCACAACCTTGGTCACCCCAGGGCTCTAACCACCAGACTGCACTGCCGGGCGTCTAAACCAGTGGTTCCCTAGACCCGTGTAGCTCTGGAGCAGCATCACCAACAGGTCCCCGAAACAGTAGACACGCAGGTGGCTCAGTCGTGAAGCATCTGACTTGGGCTCAGGTCGTGATCTCACGGTTCGTGAGTTCGAGCCCCGCTTCGGGTAAGCCCTGCTTCTCTCTCTCTCCCTCTCTCTCTACACCTCCTGGGATTCTCTCTCTGCCCCTTGCTCACTTGTGCCCTCCCTCTCTCAGAAAGAAAGAAAAGAAAAGAAAAGGAAGGAAATGGTAGAAATGCAAAGTCTCAGGCTCCACTCCAGAGCGTCTGAATCTGAAACTCTGAGGAGGGTCCGGCGATCGTCATTTAGACAAGTGTTCCGGGTGATGCTGCTGAGCTTTGAGAACCTCTGCCCTAAACCTCTCACCCAGCCTCTGGCCGCTGCTCACCTCTGCAGCTGCCCCGGCCGGACCTCCGCTCTGCCAGCCAGACACTCCGGGGAGAGGATCCGCAAATCTCCAGCCTTAAAAAGAAAAACCCTGAGGATTTAGACCGCACCCTCTGGTGATTCTGATGCCCAACTGTAGTGGAGAACAGCTCAGGAACCGGGAGTGCCGGGCCCTCGGGACGGCAGATGTGCCTTCAAAGCTGACACTTACCTCCATGTCTTAGTCCCAAAGCCCAGGGGAATCCCACCTAAATCCCTCTGAGCCCTCTTCAGACTGGGCGCTGGCGTTAGCAAAACTGTCCTCCCCGGACACCTTCCTCCCCCAGTCTCCCTGTCCTTCCTGTGGCCTCCCCTTAAACCAGTGTCTCAGGCAGTAACAAAATACCGCGGGTTGGCGGGCTTGAAAGGAGCCAATTCTCTCTCCCAGCCCTGGAGGCCGGAAGTCTGAGATCAGGGGCCAGCGTGGTCGGGTTGGGGTGGCAAGGCTTCCTGGCGGGCGGGTAGCCGCTCTCTGGCTGTGGCCTTCCTCGGTGCGTGGGAGAAAGATCTCTCTTTCCCTTCTCGTAAGGCGGCCAGCCCTATCAGACGGGACCTCGTGCGCATGACCTCATGTCACTTTAATTATCTTCTAAAAGCCCTGTCTTCAGATGCAGTCATGTTGGGGAGCAGGGCTCCAACATGTGTATCTGTGGGGGGACACAAATGTGCCTAGATCAAACCAGATCAAACCAGTTCGCTTCCTGCCCTGAAATCTTAATGGCTTTTCAAGAATTCTATATGTACCACCGTTTCATAGAAGGCCGCCCCAGAACCCCTAGGAATGACTGTGAGAGGGGAAGTTCCAAGGTGGGAAAGAAAGTCACGGCGGGAGGGGCC